GACTGAAGACCAGGTTGGCTGGTAGGTGGGGTTGGAGGCAATCAAATGGATTAATGCATGTCAAGCACCTGAAAACATCTGACATTTGTTCAACAAATGGAGCTACCATTATTATCTATGGTGATTTATTTTTTCCGAAAAAAAATTTCAAAATAACACTTAGGGAAATAACATATTTGAATAAGTGAGTTGGTTATAATAGCTATTTATTACCAAAATGAGAAATGAACAAAAGTTGTACAGTGAGATGACAAGTTCAAATATTATCTGTAGTATACAAGAACTAGATTAAAAAAAAAAAAAGTTGCAAAAAGGGTGCCTGCTATTTAAATATCCTATACTTGAGTTACAAATCACCTAAGCACAATTACAAATAATTCAGCGTAGCATCCATGCAGGACACTGGCTAGCATGTGGCTAGCCAGCAGAGCCTCTTAGCAGAGGCAAAATCAATTGCATCTCAAGGAAATAGTCTCCCAGCATCCAAATGAAGAGATGGATTCTTTCCTCCCCTCGCTTGGTCCCTAATTTTTATAACTCTAGCAGATGTTGGGGCTCAGAAAACCCGAAGTGAAGGCCTCAGAAGCAAAGTTTTCTCTAACGTTATCCTGCCCTCCTGTTTCAGCCTCATTCTCCCCGAAAGCAAGATATAGAAACTTGAATTCCTCTTCCCCAAGGTAGGTCATAGAAACCGGAACCACTTTTCCACAATGACAGACTTACACCATAAAGATAGTACTCTAATCTTCCCTCACCTAACTATGTAAGAGCTGGCCATAAATAAATTCTCTGACCTACCTTGTTTGATAGTAGGTTATAAGATCCCCATTCCATACAGGCCCTGCCCTGTATCCAGGAGGAAGGAATGCTGCACAGAGACCAAGAAGAATCTGAACAGACAGGCCTTGCTAGGTCCCCAAGCTGAGTCTATTCCCATTAGATCATATCTTTTTTTCCAATCACTGTTCTTCAGGGCTGTCCATTCTTTATCAAACCTAAGCATAATAATGCATAGTTTCCCCTGTAATTTTGGGTTTTCATTCTGAAGGCTCCCCGGTCATGTAAAACGTTGGTTAAATACATTTGTTGAGTTTTTCTCTTGTTAACCTGTCTTTTGTTATAGGATTGTCAGCTGTGACCCTTATGAAGGGGTCTTTCCCTTCTGCCCTTACAGAGCCATCTGCCCCTACACAGACATCTAGAACTGGTTTAGATGACTGGCCTTTGCCTGTCTTCCCCTGATTGTCCCTATTACAGTCTTACTTCTAGTCTTAAAGACCTAATACCTCTATAAGAAACAAAGGAGAGAGTTATGACTTGGACATGTTGAGTACCAAAAACGTAATGCAGAGGGGGACATTTTGTTGCACTGACAACATGGAACAGATTTATTTACCAGAACAACCTGTTGGTCCCAAGCATTGCTAACCAGTGTACTTTCTAAGTTTCAGAATTAATACCAAAGAGGTAAGAATAAAACTCAGACCTTCTACCAATAGGCGGGGCTGGCATCAGACTTCTTGAATGAATCAATAGACAAATGAATCAACAAACTTACTAAAGGGACTGTTTGATTCTTGTCTCAGGCATTCCATAAAATCCTATAGACTTTATAGTGTCTTGACCCCGTGCTCTGTGTCAATGAAGAAGCATCTTATAGGAAAGAATATAAACTGTAGTTCAATATTTAAGAGGCTTCAAGGAAGTATGGAAAGAGTCTGGGAGTGACTAAACTATCCAATGTCATAGAAATAAAGCTATTAAGAATAAGAGTAATTTTTGTTGCTTTATTAAATTTTTTCTCACAGAATTCTTTATAAAAATACCATGTCCCTAAAATGTCATTCAACATATATGCACACCTTCAATGTACAGGACACTGATCAAAAAAGACAGAGAAATGTGTCTCCCTGGTGTTTGGTTTTTGTTCTGTTTGTTTTCACAGGCAGGGTCTCAGTATGCTGCCCAGGATGGATTCAAACTCCTGGGCTCAAGTAATCCTCTTGCCTCCACCTGGGACTACAGGCACACACCACCACATCTGGCTTCATGTTGCCAGTATTAATGCAATGCCATAATATTCAGAATTCTGAAAGGCAAACTCAAATATCTTAAATTTTACTTCACTTACAATTTCAATAATGCTGAAATGTTGATTGAATATTGTGTTTGTAGTGCTATCTCTTTTTTGTTCATAAGAACAACAGCCTATCATTCTCTTGGTTTCTAAAATGTATGTTCATATGGTTTAGATACATATAGTTATATAAATATGTTACACAAAACAGTATTTTTTTGAGTTGTAAATAAATAAAAAATTTTAAGGAACCGAATCAGGATAAAAGTTAAAGTTATAATACATTTAATAAATTAATTCTAAAGTTTAGACAAAGTTTTGGTTCTTCTTCATGAAAGAAATGTACGAACTGTACCCTTGATTGTACTCCTGCAAATAGGACACTTTCTTAAAGAAGGAGCACAATCTTTGCATACTACTAGATGACCACAAGGAATAAACACTATGGACACTTCTTTGTCCATACACACTTTACATGTTCTTTCTTCTTGTAATCTCCGCAACTGTTCTTCCACTGGTAGATCTAGAAAGAGGAAAGAATTTTTCATAAAAGGCAATTTGCTTCTTCAATGAAAAAACCAAGAAAATAGACAATGTTTTCTATTGGTTTAAAATATTAATATTATTACCTGAAACATCTTCTGTGGGAATATACTTTATGTCCTGTTGCACTAAGGGAGAAAAAGAAAAAGCATTACTATGACAAATAAGGTTAATATTTAGCTACAGAATATATTTTAAAAATGAACTCTTTAGACTTTGGCCAAATACTCATGTCAAGGCAACAAAAGTCTTTAATCTTTTTATGCAATTAATATCTATAAATTTGATTGAGTTTGTTTTCAAGACAGAGTCTCACTCTGTCACCCAGGCTGGAGTGCAGTGGCACAGTCACAGCTCATGGCAGCCTCTATCTCTCAGGCTCAAGCCATCCTCCCACCTCATCCTCCTGAGTAGCTGGGATTACCAGGTGTACGCCATCACAACTAATTTTTTAAAAAAATTTTTGTAGTGATGGGGTCTCGCCATGTTGTCCAGTCTGGTCTCAAACTCCTGGGCTCAAGCAATCCACTTGCCTGAGCCTCCCAAGGTGTTAGGATTACAGGCATGCATCACCACACTCAGCCTGAATTATTTTCAATAATCATAAGTTATTAATAAGACCATATTTTCAATTGACTTAGAAAATTTTAAAAAATAATTTTCTACCACTCACCAAATAATCGCTCATATAACACAGCGTCAGCTTCTTGCAGAGAGTTTCTGAATACAGTGGCTGCAATATTTCCTTTTACTAAAATAGTATCAATCAGTTCTCTTGCTTGTAAAGATGTCTGTGTCTTCTGTTTAATAACATCATGTTCTTGTTCATTAATAATTCTGGCAGTTAGTAGACTATCCAGGATTGGAATTACACAAGTCAAATGTTGAAAAAGTGCCATTCTATTCTTCCTGATTAATAATAAATCATCTTTATAAAAAAGAAGACAAACATAAACATATTCAAACACTGCTCACAAACTTCCTTCCAGGCCTACATATGTAACAGAATAAAAACTGTCTTTAATTCGTAATCAGTAAGGCATTGATACTGATTGCTAGGTTTAGGGGTATCTCATCTCCTGTGCTTAATAATAATGTTATTATAATTATAATTCAGAGTGCAGTGGCACATGCCTGTAGCACCAGCTACTCAGGAGGCTGAGGTAGGAGGATCACTTGAGCCCTGGAGTCAGAGACCAGACTGGGCAACAGAGCAATACCCTGTCTCAAAAAGCTGTAATAATAATAATAATAATTATTATTATAATTATAGTAAGGACTAACATTTAGTGAGCACTGTGTTAAGAACTTTATACACATTGATTCATTTCATCTTCACAACAGCTCTTTGAGGTAGGTCCAAATAGCCTCATTTAACAAATGAGAAAATGAAGCCACAGTGAGGCAAGTAAGTTGCCAAAGGACACCACAACTAGCAAAAATCAAACTGAGGTAGTCTGGTGTCATGTACTGTGCTTTCAATCATTTTGCAATACTGGTAAGCCTTTAACCAAATGAAACTTAGAACCTATTAAAATTGATGTTTCAATTCAATCTAGGTAAATTGGGGAAAGATAAAATCAAGATAATTAAAACAATTTTTTCTTAAAGTATTCTTCCATAACATTTCTTTTATTATTTATTTATTCATTTTTAAAACAGAGTCTTGCTCTGTCACCCAGGCTGGAGTGCAGTGGTGTGATCTCAGCTCACTGCAACCTCTACCTCCCAGGTTCATGCTATACTTGTGCCTCAGCCTCCTGAGTAGTTGGGATTACACCCAGCTAATTTTTTGTAGTTTTAGTAGAGACAAGGTTTCACCATGTTGGCCAGCCTCGTCTTGAACTCCTGGCCTCAAGTGATCTGCCCACCTCAGCCTCCAAAGGTGCTTGGATTACAGGTGTGAGCCATTGTGTCCGGCCCATAAAATTTCTTTAAAATTCCAAGTTGAAATTTTAATTATTTCCAGAAATTAGACATATTGCCATTACCTGAATATTGTATAGTAAGCAGGGAAAGGCAGTAACAGCATTTTGAATACTAAACCCTATTTGTCAATGACTACCTTCTTGTCCTACAAGATAACATCTAATTCTCCTTCAAGACCTAGATTTTGTATCCATTGGTAAAACATTTTATATTGTAAAACTGTGATTTTATTATCTCTTTGGAATATAACTTATGAATCTAAGTTTATTAATTTTCATATAGCTTACCATAAGCCATAAAGCTATTTCTAAAAAATAACTAATGACAGAGGCTGAGCTATCTGAAGAACTGTTTTGGGAGAGAGGATGGTTAGATTTTAGATACACTGACTTTGTCAAGTGATAGGACTCATAAAAAGAACCATTTAAGAAAGAATAAAAAATGGAAAAAAGAAAACATCAAAAATCGAAAACAACAACCAGAAAATAAAGAATTAAAATGGTTCTGCGTCAAAAAGACAAGGCTAAAGACATACTTTGAAAATAATTGAAGCTCTGAGAATAAATGAGAAAAGGGTCAGGAGCTAGAATAGTGTCTGGCACAAAGTTAATGCTCCATAAATATCTGTTGAACAAATGAACAACCAAGCCTTAGTTCTATAATTTAAAGAGTAGGAATAGAAAAGTAATAGTGAGGGGGTAGAAGACTTAGAACTTACTATATTTTGTTAAATTATCTATATTAGCAAAGTAGGGATATATCAGAAAATAAAAATATAATGTAAACTTGGTGTTGAAGTATACTGGTTTTTCAATCTAAGATTTATTTTTGCAATTATACCTAATCTAATATAATACATTCTCTGAAATTCTTAAGATTTCTAAAATTTAATTGCTAGTAACTGAGAAAAAGTCTCATTTCAAAGTTGTAGACTATATTCTGGTTTGTAAGTTTGGAAGACTTGAATATACCTTTGAAGCATATTATTTCCTTCCTTCCTTCCTTCGGAAGACTTGAGTATACCTTTGAAGCATATTATTTCCTTCCTTCCCTCCTTCCCTCCTTCCCTCCTTCCCTCCTTCCCTCCTTCCCACCTTCCCTCCTTCCCTCCTGCCTTCCTTACTTCCTTCCTTCCTTCCTTCCTTCCTCTCTTTCTTTCTTTCTTTCTTGAGACAGACTCTCACTCTGTGGCCCAGGCTGGAGTGCAGTGGCATATGATCATAGCTCGTTGCAGCCTCAACCTCCCTGGGCTCAAGTGGTCCTCCCACCTCAGACTCCTGAATAGCTGGGACTACAGACACATGCCACCACACCCTGCTAATTTTTGTATTTTTTTTATACAGACAGGGTTTTGCTATGTTGCCCAGGCTGGTCTCAAACTCCTGGGCTTAAGTGATCTGCCTGCCTCAGCCTCCCAAAGTGCTGTGATTACAGGCGTGAGCCACCACACCCAGCCATGTTATTATTTTATTCTGGGAAAAAATATCTTAAATTGCCTCTTTATTTATATCCCTACTGTTCTTGGGAAACTATAAAGTAATCATTAACCTAAATGTGTTTTCATTCACTCACTCAGAACACAGACTATATGCAGGCACCATACTAGGTAGTAGAGATATATATATAAAAAACAGTGAGGCCGGTCGCGGTGGCTCACGCCTGTAATCCCAGCACTTTGGGAGGCCAAGGAGGGCGGATCACAAGGTCAGGAGATCGAGACCACAGTGAAACCCTGTCTCTACTAAAAATACAAAAAATTAGCCGGGCGAGGTGGCGGGCGCCTGTAGTCCCAGCTACTCAGGAGGCTGAGGCAGGAGAATGGCATGAACCCGGGAGGCGGAGCTTGCAGTGAGCCGAGATCGCGCCACTGCACTCCAGCCTGGGCGACAGAGCGAGACTCCATCTCAAAAAAAAAAAAAAAACAGTGAGGCAGAAACACTAAGGGCTCTTTTTGACAATGTAAATTATTATATATTGTTGACTTGAAGTCATTTCTGGAGACTTTTCTGATTGTCTTTGAAAGAAATATAAATATTTTATAAGTGGAATAGTTTTAGATTTTATGGGGTCTCTCAATGGTTGTGGAGATAAGTGTTCTTTTCTTTGAGCAATTGTTGGCTGGTGACAAATGGCTACCACTAAGAAGGCTACAGGAAGGACATACTTGCCTAATCTTCACAGAGAAAAGAGAACTTGATGAGGCTGAGCAAAGGTTAACTGTGACTGTATTGCTGCTACACTAGTGGTTTATAGACTGAGTAATTCACACTTGGGTGAATGTATGATGCCATGTCACTATGATCTGATAGGTTTGTCCGGGTTGGGTCAGAAAACAAATCCATCTTCATGGGCAGGGTTGGATTTATCCCTAAATGAAATGGACGATCTGACTGTCAATAATCCTATGAAGAAATAGATCCCAGATGGCATTGGACAAGGATAAGGAGAAATCTTTGTTGTCCTTCTGAACTTTGTTGTCCTTCTGAATATTTGGGGGCCTGAGTTTTGATAAAGGAAAACATTACTGGGACATTCCTAGTGATTTGTGTAAACTTGCCAAAGCTACACAGAGATGAGCCAGAAGCTAGGCAGAGAGATCTATGAGGATGAGCCCGGGGGCACTAAGAGGGGCCACATCTAGTTGCAGCTGTAAATCGACATTTGTGATATAATTCCCTTCTGTTACCCTTAAGTCTCCAACAAGAGCTTGTTAAAAGTTGCATCTGTTTTTAGCTGTGTTGAAGGGACTTACAGGTCTGGTCCATGCTTGGGAAAGGAGAGATCAGCATTTCTTTTTGTCTAGGACAGAGTGATAACAGCCGTCAAAACAGCCAGATGAGAATGGATGTGCCCAGAAGAGTTTTTGTGAAGGACAATAGAGAACATAGTAGTGGATAAGGTTAGTATGGAAGGACATGAGCAACTTGTTCTAAGAAATTGTGAAACAGTATCCTAGGACTTGCCTAAATAATCGAAGGATGCTCTGAAAGACTCAGTTCTCGTGTAGGCAGGTAGGGGACTTAATAGTAGTTTGTGCATTAATGTATAGTCACAGGCTAAGACATGCTTTTACGTTAACGTTAAAATTAATAATTGTCCAGCCAGGCACAGTGGCTCATGCCTGTAATCCCAGCACTTTGGGAGGCCGAGGCGGGTGGATCACTTGAGGTCAGGAGTTTGAGACCAGTGTGGCCAACATGGAGAAACCCTGTCTCTACTAAAAGTACAAAAATTAGCCTGGCATGATGGCAGGTGCTTGTAGTCCCAGCTAAGGGAGGGAGGCACGGGAATTGCTTGAACCCAGAAGGCAGAAGTTGCGGTGAGTTGAGATCATGCCACTGCACTCCAGCGTGGGTGACAGAGTAAGACTCTGTCTCAAAAAAAAATTAATAATTGTCGCTGATCCCACCCTGATTTACTCCAAAGGGGAGTGAGCAACTAGCCTGAGATTTAAAATGTGCCATGCTGCAACAAGGATTCCATTTTCAAAACCTTAAGAAAAAAAAAGTGCCATGAATGCATAATTGGACACAGCGTCAGCTATCCAGAGAAAAAATATGAATTAAGGAAAAACAGGAAAAAATACATCACACATTTTCAACTTATGGGCAACTCAAATATATCTGAATATGAATAAATTTTTTAGCATTTGAATTCAGAATACTAAACATGAAAAAAATCTGACTGGATTGAGTATATTTTCAGATATACTAGATGAGTATATTTTCCATAACATGTAGACTGGTATCAAATCCTTATGAAAATAGACTGTATTAATAAATCTACATACTTGATTCTTTTTCCTCAGTTGCTCTTTCTCTCTCCTCTTCCCTCATTTCGTCTTCTGCATTGAGTAAGTCTAACACAAGATCACTGATGAGTCTATAATTCTCTCCAGTTGCTAGGATTTTTCTCTGAACTGTGTATTTTACCAGGCTTCTACTAAAGCCCATTTCCACAGCAGCATTAACCACAGGGGTATTCATCATGATTGCATCTTCTGAATGGTCTTCTCCAGGTTCAAAACGAATAACTATATGGAACAAGAATTTAACACATATTAGGATAGCCTGTATATTTCTTAAATATTAAAATTTGAATTGAAATAAAAAATGTTTTTACAATATTAAAAATGTAAAACCAACAAAATGTATAGGCATTATTTTGTATGAACATTGTTAAATTTAAAATGATATACACATTCAATCATCAAAATAACAACATGAAATATTGTACTTAGATGCAAAATACATATTACCTGTCATAACTGGATATACATATGTGAGCAGGAGAAGGAAACAGAATGGCAGGGATTACTTCCCACTAGAATTGAGATTCTTTTTCCCTATGTTGGATGAACAAATGAGCTTTCAATCAAGAATAATTCACATATTTTTTCAGAGAGGCTCTTATTATACAATATTGCTTCCTTAGAGTTCATTCTCAAGAGTGTAATCAGAGTGACTTTTTAAAAACACAAATCTGATTGCGTCACACTTCTTGAATTCCATCAACAATTTCATTGCTCTTAGGATAAAATCCAAAATAGAAATGCCTTACAAGGTCTCATACAATCTGAACCCTGTTTAGCTCTTCAGCCTCATCCCTTGCCACTGTATCATTCGCATTCTGCACTCTAGCCCAGGAGTCACAAACTGATGGCTCTGGTGTCAAATTCTGCCTGCAGTGCTGACCACTCATACAGCTGGCCTGCTTCACTCATTTGTCTATTAGCAACTCCTATTTCTGGCCATATAGAATTTTGCTCAGTTATTCAAAGGTGCCTATTCTCCTTTGTCACTTCGGTCTTTCATGTGCTGTTCCCTCTGCCTGGAATACTCTTTTCTTCCATTTGTCACTCAGTTAACTCCTATTCTTCCCTTGGATTTTCTGCTAAGACAAATATTTCCTCTGGAAAGCCTTTTCTGACCCTTCAAGTCTGGGTTAATTGTCCTATATGCACTCTCATATTACACTTTACTTTTGTTGCCATATCCCTTTCTCCTGTCTGTGTGTTTCTGTGTATCCCGTAGATACATGAGACCAGGAGTTATGTTTATCCTGTTCTCTATTCTTTCCTCAGAACAGGAGATACACAATAAATATATATTGAATTGAATTGAATATGAGATAATGGAGTAGAGGAGCTTGTACAAATGTTAGCTCTATTGCATTTTAGGTTTAAGGCGATGTACAAGTCATGTAACTTTTCTGAACCTCAGGATCCCTATTTAAAAAGGGGACTAACATGTTCTATCCTTTCCCTTTCACGGAAAGAATATGTGAGCAATCTAATATCATAGTACATCTGTTCTCACACTGGCCCAAGAACAAGGGTTAGGCTGGATGTATGTAGCTTGTTAAAACTATACATGCCTGAGCCTCTCCTTTAGATACTCAGATTTAATTCAGTAGGTCTGAAGTAGAAACTGGAAATCTGTCATATTTTTTAAAGTTCTCCAGGCAACTCTGATATGCACTGAAGTTTGGGAAATACCAACACAGTATATTTGAAAATGCATTCATTGTAAATTATAAATCAATATAAAGGTACGTTACTGTTATCAACTTTCAATCTTAACAGTACCAAATGACTCTATTTAAATGCATTCATTATTATCCATTGCACTTACTTGATGACTCTGCATTTTCATCTTCTGGGCTGTCTGATGTAGATAGCAGCTGCAGAAAAAAATATATATATAAAAATTAAAATATAAATCTTATCTTACCCATTGCAATGAAAATGACCCAACAGACACATTTTATTCAATTTATTGCAAACTACTTGCTTACTAGCAAAATAATTTTTTAACCAAAAGCAATATTTCATTTATATTCGATAGTTATTCCCTAGGCCATAAATTAATAGAGTTTCAGTGTGTGTATATAATAACAAATAAAACCCATTTTCATTAAGGCAGGAAAAGGACTATATCTTTTCAATAATCCATGTGACAATCAATTTTTCTTTCATCCACAGGTCTTACCTACCCTGGGTCATTCTTTGGGATAAGTTGGACCCTATATCAGTTTCATTGCTCATGGCTGGAATGGGATTGACCATCCAACTATTAAGTAAGTTATTTGTTTTCCCAAGAAGATTAGAAAAAGCAATAAAATTCTCTTTCTCAGATCTTTTGAAGGAAAATTTATATAGTAAAACTGTTAAATGCTACTATCCCAGTCATTTTTTTTCTCAAGCAGTTTAATTTATTGCCACTTGATTGAAAAAATGCTGAAAGAGAAACATCACAAGTGTCATTATCAGGAGACTACCATTTATGGATCTATTTTTCTCTAAAGAATAATACTTTCTAAGATCATGTCAGGTTTGATAAGAAAAAGAAAAGGTATTTCTAAAACAACTCTTGTCTTTTCATCAAAATAGCACTCTCTGTAATTATCAGAAAGTAATTTCTCTGATGGCGACCAATATTTAAAAAAAGAACTTTCCCTACCTACCTGTTCAAGTAGATGAGGATAACTGGCTTGAACTTGACGGATGAACTCCTGTCCTTTAATTCTTATCAAGTACTCACACCTAAAATGTAAAGAAAATAAAGTTTGAGGGATTATTTATACCAGTGAAATGAAAATATAATAAATAAATTTCTCATCCCTAGGTGTTTATTCCATTTCAAATCTGGTTGTTTGCCCCAAATCACAGAATCATTTAAGATCATTTATTCTAAACTTAATGTTACAAGCATAAATAAATCCTAGCTCACTGGGAACTGATTCTATTGTATTGCTTTCAAGAAAAAATTTTTTTCTAAAACTAACCTGTAAGTATCCTATGATAGGATCCAAATTTTTTGTGTGAATTTTTAATTGTTTTGTAAGATGCTTCTTATGACAGTTAACATTTTTCATACAGGTTGAATGTCTTACAAAATTAATATTTTTATAGTTGCCAAGAAATACTATGCTTCCGCTAATTTTTTTTTTTTTTTTTAAGACAGAGTCTCACTCTGTCACCCAGGCTGGAGTGCAGTGGGATGATCTCGGTTCGCTGTAACCTCCGCCTCCTGGGTTCAAATGATTCTCGTACCTCAGCCTCCAGTGTAGCTGGGATTGCAGGTGCCTGCCACCACGCCCGGCTAATTTTTGCATTTTTAGTGGAGATGGGGTTTTACCATGTTGCCACACTGGTCTCGAATTCCTGACCTCAAGCCATCCTCCTGCCTCAGCCAAAGTGCTGGGATTACAGGCATGAGCCACTACACCCGACCACTTCAGCTAATTTTGAAAAGCACTAAATGTTTATCTTAATTTGGGCAGGACTAATCCAGCCATTTGTAGACTGGATATTTCAAATGAGTATAAACATACATATAATCAATTTACTCTTAATATATTGTGAAGTATAAATATTTCAGATGAGTATAAACATACGTAAAATCACTTTACTATTCATTTAGCATATAGAGAATGGTCAGAGATATTGTAGTGAAAGGCAGGTTGATATAAGCAAAAGGAAGGCGATTACTAGTAATCTACCAAAGCTCAAGTGGACAAGGGTCAGGAGCCTCTCAGTCTACTGAGGTCAAGTAAGTCCATCTCTCCTCAGAGCTCTTAGCTACTCTCTTCAAGTCTTCTAAGACTCTTGAAAACACACTAATGTTGGCCGGGCGTGGTAGCACTTCAAACTCCTGAGGTTAGGAATTTGAGACCAGCCTGCACAACATGGTGAAACCCCGTCTCTACTAAAAATACAAAAATTAGCTGGGCATGCTAGTGTATATCTGTAGTCCCAGCTACTAGCAAGGCTGAGGCATGAGAATTGCTTGAACCCAAGCGGCAGAGGTTGCAGTGAGCTGAGATCACACCACTGCACTCCAATCTGGGCAACAGAGCCAGGCTTCATCTCAAAAAAAAAAAAAAGAGAAAAAAAAGTAATCAAAATAAGATGCCACATTTATTAATCAATATTAACCCATTTCCCCATTTGGAAAAAAACAGTGCAGCTTGTCGCCAGTGCAGTATTCTCAGGGCAAATGGGAAACGGGCTGAATAATAGCAAAAGTTTTGACCATGAAAAAATGTAATTTTAGGCCACATGATTTAGATGAAAAAGGAGAATGTAAAAAAAGTCTTTTGAAGCTGATATTTTAGTTAGTACATTAATTTTCTTACCCACATGATAAAAACCCACACTTGCAAGCTGATCCGGATTAATTAGAACACTAGGTGGCCAGTTAAACAATCAAAAGGGCAACATATCACATTAAAATGCTGTGTGGCAATTAAAACACATGAGATGAGACTATACTTACCCTGATTTAGTATTGTAACCTGCCTGGCATTTCTAAACCCCTCTTTGTTCTTTTTATTGATTGTACTTATTTTCCAATATGCTCTATAACTTATTCAAGTTTTTATTAATTGTCTGTTCTCTCCTGCTATAATACAAACTTAGGCGACCAGGAGTCTTTGTTTTGTTCAACTGATTTTATGCACCCAGAACAATGCCTGGCAATAGGTGATCAATTGTTATTGAATACTGAATGAATGGAAATATATCCAAGACATATGTTGACTGAAAAAAAATTCAAAACTAAATAGAATATTTAATGTATGTAAAATTGTGTACATTTATTTCTATATGGATATTTATTTATTTCTATATGTATATGTATTGTATACATTTATTTCTATATGTCTGGAGCGATGTTCACTAAAATGGTAACCATGTTCATCCTTAGGTGGTAAGATTTCTGCACAGTTTAATTTTCTTTCTCTGTACTTTTCTACAATGTGTGACTTTGTTTTTATAATGAGCATGTATTATTTAAATATATATATTTCTTTAAAAATTAAACAAAAATCCCCAAATATATTTCTTCGTTAAGTCCATCAAAACTTTTTAAGTAAGTATTTTGCTAAGTAATCCATCCTAAACTTATTCACAAATATATATTTGGAACGGAGTAAAGTAACAGCTGATTTAAGGTAAACACATATGAGCAATCTCATGATAATCACAAGAATTTGCAAAGAGAATTTCAAAACAATTACCTTGGAAACCACTTGGCATGTTCCACCCATGGATCATCTCCAGATTCCCAACACCTGAGTCCACCATCACAGCAAAAGCATTTGACATCATCACTGTTACCTAAAATTAATTTTGAACCAAAACATGAATACATATAATTTGCCCACTGAAATGTATAAAATGAAATGTATTTTTTTTAAATTAGCAGATTCAGTTTCTTACCCACATAATAAAAACCCGCACTTGCAAGCTGCTCAGGATTAACTAGAACACTAGAGGGCCAGTTAAAGAATGTTTTAAAGCGGGCTGCATGTGTCTGCATGCTCAGATTAGAAACTGTGTATCTCGAAGTGTCTTGAAGCTGATTTTCGATAAATGGGCATTTGGGAAAATGTCTCAGGTGTTCTGACATCGCATTATCCTTCGGTTCCCAGTTGCTCAATTTTCCGCCACAGGCAAAGCAAGCCACTCTGTCTCCAGGTCCAACGTAGTAAAAGCCTGCTTTTGCCAGATCTGTTGGCGACAGAAAAGTCAATGGCCACGTCTGAAAAGTAAGTAATCTGGCTTTTTCATTATTCATTGCACAGTGGTAGGAACTTCTCATCAAGGCAGAAAAATCTTGATTTGCTCTGGAGTTTACAGGATTTGATGGAAAGCTTGAATAAGAGCCACTGAAATATCCACTGTTTTCTGTACCCGGAAGTAATGAATGTGTGGAATTTGTTACTGAAGAAGGAAAAGTAGGCTGAGAGGTAGCTTCCGAGTTGCTAACTGAATTTAGACTCTGAACGAATCTGCAGCTAGGATACAACTTTTTATGCTTTTCAACAGGACTGTCTCCTCTTTTCCAGTTATCCAGCATCAGGCCGCAACAGAAGCATTTGACCTTGTCATTCACACCAGTGTAATAGAAACCAGCGCGAGCAAGACTCCTTTCTGAGACAGGAACCCCAGCAGGAAAAGTGGAATACGTAGACATTCGGTACAGTTCACATGACAAGTCGTATTTCAGTTCAAACGTGTTGGCACTTTTCATCAAATTTGATAAGAATATGCTATTTTCTACTATGTTCATGATGAAATGAATGGGGAAGAAAAGGGACTAGCCTTTCTCTGGGGAGGTAGTTTTGTGCATGGCTTTGCTTTTATTAGTTTTAATACTAGGTTGAAAAGCCAAAATGAAAAAATTTTTAATTATTTTTATTTCTATGCATTTAGAGTTTCAACATGGAAAGATTCTAAATCCCATACTGATACATTTTAAGGAAGAAATACACAATTGCACCTTTGTATAATCTTTATACATACAATGTAAACATGATGCTACAGAGTAAGCTGTGCTGAAGATTAAAACCCTTCACAGAAGAGTAAAGTGTATTAGGCCATCAGGATGCCAGTTAATGGCAGGCATCTCCACAGGTAGGTCAACTTCTCCAGGCTACTAGAATGTTTCAGTGGCATTCAATCAACCTGAAGATGTAATGTGTGACTCATGAAGCTTCTTTACATGGTGGAAAGCTCTGCTCTCAAGTGTTTCACAGTAAAAATATTCAGAATATGTTTATTTTGCTTTTTGGAAATTGTGAAATTTAGTAGCCAGGGAAAAAAAGCATAACACCTACCTCAAAGGAGGAAAAGAATACATTACCATATTTCACTGATTCTAAGATGGCTATTTTAAAACTTCTGTTATCAAGAAGTATTTTATAATTAATGGCATATCATATTTTAATTAGCAGCACTTTTATTTCTTAGAGGTACATACAATAATGGTATGATTTACAATTGAAGACATTTTGAATTCAATGAAATATGGTATATCCCAAATTTTTCTCCAATTAGTCATATTTTTCTTTCTACAATCCTTCTAATAAGGAGAACAAAACAATCTAAAATTTCTCTCCAAATAAAGAGCTTTACCAATAACAGGACTGGCTAACACATCTTAAAATCTGGTTTCAATATTTATTAAATAATAGTTATTTCCCATAGATCATCAGGAATATAACTGCTTAAGCATAATGATACTATTAGATCGTATGCAATTAAATATTCTATTTAAAATAAATCATCAGAGATTAATGTGTTTGTTCATTTGGTCTTTTGGACTCAGCTTCATGCTGTTGAAGCAACTCAATGTTAACATTTTTTTATTCTAAGAGTATACTTGGCTAGAACACTGAAATGTCCTCTATAATTATGGTAGACAACAGGTGCTGCAAAAAGGCACTCTGCCGAAACTACCAGTAACAAAACTGAACTTCATTGCTATATTCAGGTTACTTTTGGAAAAACAGAATCATGATATATATTGCATTCCCTTGGTTAAAAAATTTCTTAAGATAATGTAGATATGGCTGTAAAATAAGACCTTTCAAAGATTTTTAAAAAATTTTTTATCCCCCTTAAAGAACTAACATTGTAGAGTTATTTAACTTATTACCTACTGAAAACATTTTTGAACTTTTGTTTTTCTATATGTTTCTGAAGCCAACATCCAATCTACTCTGATAGTGGATTTATTTTTTAAAACAGTCAAAAGTTACCAAATGCCATGTATAGGCTAAGATGAATAATCAAATGGCATCAATGTAGTTTTTGGTCAGAAATTATTTCATGGATAGCATACCTTGAACCAGAATTTATCGTGACAAAAAAAAATTAAATTTACCATTTCAACAGCGAGACCTTGTCAAAATTCAGAGTTTCTCAATTATGACTTCCTAGCCATTAGTAAAGAGGTTCTGAGTCAGTAGTACTAGCAATGACCAATAAGAAAGTCATTGTGGCTTTTTATTTTTTCCACCAGTGATTTGCAAGCATGGTTTCCTGGATCTCAGAGATGTTGGACTTTTTGACTGCAGACTTCAATGGTTTGTTTCCAGGTGGCGGGAGAAACATCACATCTCATTACCGATAATTACTTCCCTCAAAGGTAAGTAATTGTATCTAACTTCAATATTCCTTTCCCTGGCCAAAAATTTTACACATTGTCATAAAAATCTTCTTTGTATTCATCACTGTCTTTATATTATTTTTCTTTCTAAATGTCTTCATTTCCTAAGATGTAACCTTCAACCATCACTCTCATCCTCATCATTCTCAGAGGTAACAGCCCACTTAAACACACTTTTGGACTTTTAAAATATCAATGGCCTTATAAATACCTGGATAATTTCTTGACCAATCATCACATTTATCTTTTTACTTCCTCTAAATTTGTTGCACCTATCAAAACGCTTTGTTCTTGATTTTTCTTTGTCACTGTAGAAGTATTTTAATGTGTCAAAGCTTTCATCTGCATATTTCTTTAGTTTGCAGAGGATTTATTATTAGCTTTTTGTTCAACGTAAGTGTCACTCATTTTAAAATCTTTCCCAAACACCGGTACTGTTTCTATTCTACATAATGGGAGAATATGCCAGTAGGAGATTGCCTGGCCAACTCTGAAAAAAATGCTTTAACAATATGCCCCAGCTAGGATCACTTCTCCTTTACTTCCACAAATCAAATTCAAAATCAAACTCATTATAGTTACACCTTATATAACTCGATCGTGTTTATAAAATTAGCATTCTTTGGATAGTAAAACACCAGTCAACTACTTAATTTGTTTACCCATGCACAAAACTACCTCCCGAGATTAGACTAAGTCCCTTTAAGGATTTTAGGTCTCCATTTTGAGATGTTTTGATTTATAGAAGAAACTGAAAAAAAAAATCTAGAAGAAGTTGTTTTCCTCCTTTGTAAACCTGTTCAAAAACAAACAAACAAAAAGACAGTTTTAAAAGTCAAACAATTCATAGATGGAACACAATGACTTTTTAAAAAAACCATTTTCTCCAAAATAGAACACTAGTAATTACTGATCGTTTACCATGTATCAGGTGCTTTACTAGTCACTGTAGAGGCCAAAAAGAGATTTAAAAAAAACAGAGGTCTCTGCCTGGTGCAGTGGCTCACGCCTGTAATCCCAGCACTTTGGGAGGCCAAGGCAGGTGGATCACTTGGGGTCAGGAGTTCGAAACCAGCCTGGCCAACATGGTGAAACCCCATCTCTACTAAAAATACAAAAATTAGCTGGGTGTGGTGGTGCACGCCTGTAATCCCAGCTACTCAGGAGGTTGAGGCAGGAGAATCGTTTGAGCCTGGGAGGTAGAGGTGGCAGTGGGCCGAAATAGCGCCACTGCACTCCAACCTGGGTGACACAGCAAGACTCTGTCTCAAAAATAAAATAAAATAAAACCCAGAGGTTTCAAACTGGAAGACATATCATGTTTGGCTTACATAGAATTGCATTATAGTACTTTACTAATTTTTTATTTTTATTTTGAAATTTATTTATACTTAGAGAAAACTTACAAAAATGACACAGTTTCTGCATACTCTGCATTTAGCTTCCCCAAAGCTAACATCTTACCTAATTACAGTGCAATTAAAGAAACCAGAAAATTTACATTGTACCATGCTGTGGATTAATCTGCATGCCTCATTTGAATGTAATCCAGTTTCCAAATCCATTTGGAAACAGTATGGACCACAGTATTTTAAAATCTTACCGTCAATTGCCAACATTTTTAAATGTAAGAGACTTCCCATCACATTCTAGATTCCAAGCTTCTCTTGGAAAATCAAAAGATCTAGCAACACTGGGTCTATAGTCCTGCAGGGCAGCTAGAGCTGAGCAGCAGCTGTGCCCTTTAGAGAGGGAACGTGTTCTCTTTGATTCCCTGATACTGGGACTGACTGTTCTGATAGTCTCCGCTAACAATAACAGTCTAGTAATAACAGACTGTTGCCATTTGTCATTGAACAGGCACTATTGTTTTTCTTACAGCAGAATTATGAGGAAAGTGAAATCAGTGTAACACATGTGTCTATCAAAAGTAACAAAAATGAAAAGTAGAAGAAGGACATATGTTTCCAGAACAATAGGAGAACTTTTGTCTTTGTGGAAAGGAAGGATATTCCTTCATATCAAATATGCAAACAGAGTATGCTTTTATTTAAAAGAGACATCCCACAAGTTCTCATGCCATGGCTCACACCTGTAATTCCAGCACTTTGGGAGGCCAAGGTAGACGGATTGCTTGAGCCCAGGAGTTTGAGACCAGCCTTAAACTGGGTGACCTGGCAAAACCCCATCTCTACAAAAAAACCTCAAAAATTAGCCAGACATGGTGGCACATGCCTGTGATCCCAGCTACTTGGGAGGCTGAGACAGGAGGTTCACTTGAGCCCATGAGGCAGAGGTTGCAGTGTGAGACTGCATCACTGCACTCCAGCCTGGGTGACGGAGCAAGACCCTGTCTCAAAAAAATAAACAAAAATAAAAATAAAAATAAAAAGAAAGAAAGAAAAAAGAAAAGAAAAAGAGAGACTCAGAGTTTTTCTCATTTATATCACTTCCATTTGAGTTTGCAAACCCCTTACACAAATCTTATCCTAAAGAAGCTTTAGGTCAGGCGTGGTGGCTCACGCCTGTAATCCCAGCACTTTGGGAGGCCAAGGCAAGCAGATAACTTGAGATCAGGAGTTCAAGACCAGGCTGACCAACATGGTGAAACCCTGTCTCTACTAAAAACAAAAAAAAAATTCATCAGGCATGGTGGCACGCACCTGTAGTTCCAGCTACTCAGGAGACTGAGGTAGGAGAATCACTTGAACCCAGAAGGTGGAGGTTGCAGTGAGCCAAGATCATGCCACTGCACTCCAGCAAGGTATATATTTGTGGAAATTCAGGCAACAACTATACAATAAATATACAAAAATATGCCAAGATGTCAACCCCAGATCACTTCAGCCTCTGTCCTAACAATTTCCAACACCTAGATGCAACCCTGCAGACTGGGACCAGCATCACTTAAGACTCCTTTGCCACCCCTTAGCAATTCCTTTTCGCCCCGCTCAGGCCCCTAGTCCACTGCCCTATGCACCCTTCTAAACCTTCAACACCTTCCTCAGATTTCTCCACTGCACTCCATCTCATTTTCAGTCCATTGCTTTGCCTTCTATTTCTCAAAGAAAAGAGATATCATTGAGCAGGAACCGTCTCACATTCTCATATCCAAGCCTTTTTGGCTCACAACCTACTTGCTGCCTCAGTTAAAGACTTGCCCCCTTATGGGATCCTAAACTCTCCTACTGCCTCAGAAATCTTGTTCTTAATCCCATCTCCCTCATTGCTTCAACTCTCATTCCTCTCACTCTCAACTGGCCCTTTTCCTTCCACATAACAACCATGCTTAAATCTATCTCAACTCTCAAATGAAAGAAATTTTTAAAATTCTCTTTCAGCCAGGTGCGGTGGCTCATGCCTGTAATGCCAGCGCTTCAGGAGGCTGAGGCGGGTGGATCACAAGGTCAGGAGATCAAGGCCATCCTGGCTAACACGGTGAAACCCCATCTCTACTAAAAAGAAATGCAAAAAATTAGCCAGGCATGGTGGCGTGCACCTTTACTACCAACTACTTGGGAGGCTGAGGAAGGAGAATCGCTTGAACCCAGGAGGCAGAGGTTGCAGTGAACTGAGACTGCGCCACTGCACTCCAGCCTGGGTGACACAGTGAGACTCCGTCTAAAAAAAAAAAAAAAAAACCCCTTTCAACCCCACTTTCCACGGTAGCAACTACCCTGTATCGCCCCTTCCCTTCATAGCCAAGCAAACTGGACATGTGTGTACGGTTAATGTCTCCATTTTCCCTCTCCCATTTACTCATTAAGTCAGCATCACTTAAAACTGCTCTCAGTATTAATAACACCAATGGTTTTTTTGCCAAAACAAATGGAAATGTTTGCATCTGACATTGGGGCACACTTCCTCTTAGAAATGTCCCATTCCCTGGGCTTCTCTGATACCAAGCTCTTGGGATTCTTCTTTCATTTCTAGTGGCTTCTTCTCAGATTGGCTCAGTCCCCAACCTTTCGTCTTCTGACTCTTCCATTTAACCTACCAAGAAAGCAACCTCCCCAATCCCAGGGCTGTTGGGCATCCCTACCCTTTGGGCACGCGGCACATCCATTTCTATGACACTGGAGGGCAAGTGTGCCTTTTCTTTCTGCCTCCCCCTAGACAGTAAGGTATTTTAGAACCGCAGCTATTAATATGTTTCATCTCTGTACCTGCCCTCCCACTCATAGCATCTGCAGAGCTTGGCATATAGGGTAGACACAAAGACTTCCCGTTGAAGAAATAAATGTTAGCAAATGTGACTGAGCCCCGAGTGACCACAGTACTTCTATCAATTTTACATTAATGACCACAGAGTCTACTCAGTGATTGATTAGGATCAGGCTTTGGAGTCAGACATCTGGGGTGCTCAGTACCAAGCAGCCCGGTAACCAGAAGCATGACGTTGCACAAATAAATCTCCAAGAGCCTCAGTTCCCTCACTGTCAAATGGAGATAATTATGGTAACTACTCCTTAAGATTATGATAATTAAACGTGAAAAATACATGTAAATTCTTCAGAGAGAAACCTAGCATATAGCAAGTAGCAGTACTTAATGTTAGCAATACATAATAGCAAATAAAGTCAATAGTTAATATTATTGTTACGTTAGCATCAGGTACATGCCTTCGACACTGTATTGATCAGAGTAAGAGCACTACTGGGTTTCCATGCTGATCACCAGGAAGACAACCAAAAACTGCTGTCTTCCTACCACAGGTTGGAAACATGCCTCCATTTGCTCATTAAACATTTTACTTCCTTCCTGTGCCAGAGCTCTGTGTTAGGCTCGGTCCTGAAATTTATTTGGCACCTGCAAAGGCCCAGTGATAACTCTTGGCAACCGAATCAAAATGACACAGCTGCACAATTCCACTGGCTCACTCCAAACGTAAAATAGAAATTGAGCACCTGGAACCTATCTAGAGCCTGCCTTTGGGCCCTGACGTTTGATAACTGCGCCCCACCCACTGACTCTCAACCTCTGCAGCGCTCTAACCCAGAGCGCCCCTCGGCCACCCGCTGGCACACCTCTTACCCCAGGGGAGGCGCGCGCGCGCACGCACACACACAAACACACAAGCACACAGCAGCCTTCCTCGCCCACCTGCTGCCCGCGCGCACACACACACACACACGCACGCACACACCAGCCTTCCTCGCCCACCTGCTGCCCAGAGGCCGACGACGCATGCACCAGCAAGGACAAGCCCAGTCTTTTCAAGCGACACCTGTCGCCCGGCCTGTTCCGTGCGGAGAGCGCGAGTCTCACGCTGTCTTTTAAATGCGTCACCCAAATCCCCACCCCTACCCGTAGCAGGCGTTCCGCACTCCTCCCAGTGGTTTGCATGTGCACTGGTGCTTTCCTTTTAGGACTTAGGGGAACTCCAGGGGTAATAACCACAGACACTTCCTCTTAATCAGTGGCCTGGCAAACCCGCTCGGGGATTTCCATGACCCAAAAGCATGACTTTTCACCGTGGCCTATCTGCGCGGCATTTACTGAAAGACATTTGCTTCATTGCTCGTGGGCCAGAGGAAATCTTGATAACAACCCATACAGAGAGGACGGTCATTGCTCAGCCTGCCTGGAAAAGGTCAATATGCCCTCTTCACCCTCCATCTGCCATACACTTTACACGTAAAAAGGTTCGGGTTTTCAATCTTCTACTAGAGCTGCAGAAGTCCAGCATTAAAAAAAAAAAAAAATCGAAACTTTGTGAAATCTTTCTATTTATTTTTACTTTTTGTTCTGATCAAGAAAGTAAGAGGTGAAAGGAAATGTAGGGGTATGTGAAAAAAATCATGCAGTTCTCCTTTGCAGTTTATTTTTTACCATTTTAAAGATTGAAATTGCTGTGTTAATTTTCTGTATTGAAATACTTTTTGTTTTGTTTGGTGAGTTTTGGGTTTTTTTTTTTTTAATAAGTAGGGTGGAGTTGGCTACTTAAAAAAATCCCTCCTTTATAGCCTTTGATTTCACAGGGCAGGTTTCTGAGTTGCAGTGCCATTCTCAGGGAAACCTGACATCTTCGAGTCTAACTGCACTGCCATATTTTCCTCAACGTTCTCTAAGTAGTAACTTTAAGCAACTTTATCTGAGAGCCATCCGTACCAGGGTAAGAGATGGATTTGGGAGAGCTCATCTGATCTTCTGTCTTCCAGTAGATCAAAGACAGTTACCAACCAGAGGCAGAGCCCATAAAGATTATTTGGTCCTTCATCATTCTGTGGAAACAGCATCCAGTGCATTCTGCACACAATGGACTGAGCTGAGGCATCTTCTGGTTTAGGTGGACTTGGCTGTCCATAGCAGCTGAAGTTCCAGTTGGAATTAATTCAGAAACACTAAGTGTATTTATCATATGGAGACTTTAATCCACATTTGAGTCTGCTTCAATCAAGACTTTCTAAGCCATTTTCAACTCACTCCTGAGATTATGGAAAATAATTTGTGGGCCTTACACATTTTTGATTATGTACTCACCAGAAGAATTTCAAAAAGCTCTGCATTCCCTTGCCCATTTTTAACTTAACATTAAAACATAAAGCTCTTGTACATGTCAATAATCTACAAAATGTAAACATAGATATTTTTGGAAAAAATTGATAGAGCGCTCTTTTAAATGTATTTGATGGATCCTAATACCATAGTAATTTGACATACATGATCATCCATGAAGCAATTATCAAGTCATCTTTAATAATTGAAAATACTTTATCATTGCCTTTTGTCATTGAACATTCCAATTCCCCTACAGAATGTTAATACATGTTTATACTGAACATCTTTTATGATCTCTCTGTCACATATCTCTGAAACAAATACATACTATAAATTGAAATCCATTTTTTTCTCTGGGATCATAAGGATCTAAGTGTTTAAAAAAAAAAAAAAATTCCTCTTTGGCCAGGCATGGTGGCTCATGCTTGTAATACCAGCACTTTGGGAGGCAAAGGTGGATGGATCATCTAAGGTCAGGAGTTCAAGACCAGCCTGGCCAACATGGTGAAACCCGTCTCTCCCAAAAATACAAAAATGAGCCAGGTGTGGTGGTGCACACCTGTAGTCCCAGCTACTTGGGAGGGTGAGGCATAAGAATCACTTGAACAGGGGAGGCAGTGGTTACAGTGAGTCAAGATACAGATTATGTATGCTGTAAACCCTATTTTCACAGAATAAGGTTAGATAGTAGATAGGCCCAGAAGAGAGAGTGTATTATCTGCAGATTTTTCACAATCTGAAAAATATGGTTTATATTTCAAAGTCATTAGTCGGTCTCTATCGAAAGTGACTTGTATTGAGTTGGCCGGCAGGACGAAGTCAATTTTGTTGGAATGTGGGTGGTTTAGAAAACACTGGAGACTTTTGGTCTACGCAGCGCTAGGCTGGAGCAGGGTTTAGCAATATTAAAAACCGAAAACGTGAGTTAATTTGATTTAATATAAATAGATGATGA